CCGGGTCCTCATTTTACCCACCTCGGAAGGATGGAAGGCTGAGTCAACCCTGAGCCGGTGAGATTTGAACAGCCAAACTGCAGAACTGCAATCAGTTGAACTGTAGTGCTGCATTTAACCACTGCGCCACCTCCTGTCTACAATACAGTCCTTTCAGCAGTTTCAAGAAGATTCCACAATCAATTGCACTCTGGATTCAGGTGGCTCCCAGGGCACAGATAAATCCTCAAATGGCCTCAAAAGGTTTCAGAGAAAGTGCTAACAACTAGATGACTGCAAAGATGGGAAACAAAACTTTTTGTTCTTCCTCAAGAAAAAATCAGTCCAGTTGTCTTTTGAATACAAAAAAGCACCTTTGAACCAGCAATGATGACTGAGAATCCACAGACAATCACGGGCTGCTCCTTATTTTGGCAATTCCCCATCCTAGTGCAACCTGGGATGACATCTTTCACTATCTTTTGTACATCTCTCAGTTCTAATCAAAGATACAGGAGACTTCATTGTCAGCTTACTTTCCATTCATGCAAAATGTTGGATTGGATTGATTTAATTATTCCATATGTTTTATTTGTTTGGATTGCATCCATTTACGAGGTGAGGTGCATGACTTCTCCAGCCATGTGGACTTCTATTGCAACTATTTGCTAATGGGATATTATTGTTCTGTCTTAAATCCCTGTAGTGAATTACATCCAGAAAGCTGGCCTGTGGATATTACTCTGATGCCTTCTTTAATAGAGCTAAAAAGCGATAAAGCTAGTAGAGCTTTCGGCCTTCCGCCAGAGGTCAGTATTGTGCCTTCTTCCTGTCGAGGACTGCAATATCAGCCAGGGGAAGGCTTACATATGAGGCTGCTTGTTCAAGCAGATTTCAGTACAAGTAAGAGAAATTTCCTTTTTTCCCCTTTATTTCTTTTCTGCTGATCTCCGCTTGAAAGTTTACTTGTAAAATAAAGCTAACGAAATTAGGATGGCTTAAGAGTATTCAAGGAAAGCTGCATTTACCTATAAAACATTGGACTAGAGAAAACATTACATTTAGTAGTGACGTTATAGATAAGGTAATCACAATTTAGGCTACTTCTGTTTTTCTTATTAGTTCCAAAATTTCATTGGTCTGACTTGAATTTTATTGGATTTATTCCTTGCTCTGTGCCTCATGAAAATGAATATTAATTGTCACGCTTCCTAAGAAGGCACATTGACGTATTTTAATATGCAGAATATTAACAGATTATTAAAACAGCTTTCCTGACTGAAATGTTGAGATTTAAGAAATTATTCTGTTCACTTGTATCAGAATATGATATTTTTATTCCACTGCTAATGCTACATGTTCTGTGTTTTATTTTCCCCTTTAGAAATCTTAGCTCTACCTACACTTACTAAGAGCTAAATGTCTTGCTTCTATGCAGGTTATTTATCAGTAGATATACATAATCTCCCCATAAAGAGCTATAGTGGTGCAGTGGTTAAAATGCAGTATAATTGGGCTAACTGCCAACTGCCAGCAGTTTAGCAGTTCAGTTCTCACCGGCTCAAGGTTGACTCAGCCTTCCATCCTTCCGAGATTGATAAATAGTAGTAGTAGTAGTAGCAGTTAGACTTATATACCGCTTCTTAGGGCTTTCAGCCCTCTCTAAGCAGTTTACAGAATCAGCATATCGCCCCCAACAACAATCCGGGTCCTCATTTTACCCACCTCAGAAGGATGGAAGGCTGAGTCAACCCTGAGCCGGTGAGATTTGAACAGCCGAACTGCAGAACTGCAGTCAGCTGAAGTAGCCTGCAGTGCTGCATTTAACCACTGCGCCACCTCAGCTCTTAAAATGAGGACCCAGATTGTTGGGGGCAATATGATGACTTTGTAAATTTATTATTTATTTATTAAATATATTTATATGCCGCCCAATCCCGAAGGACTCTGGGCGGCTTACAAAAAATATAAGAGAAAACACATAACGATAAAAGAAAACAATTTAAAAACAACAAACGCCCTCATACATTCCTTCTAAACCACTTAGAGAAGGCTGTAAAGCACTGTGAAGCAGTATATAAGTCTAAGTGCTATTGCTATAATCCACAGGAAATGTCACCTGTAAAGAGAAGACTTTCCGGTGTCATGTTATTCACAGTTTGGATGTAGCTGGATTTGTGCTTATTTTTGCAGATCTTTGAAATAGCAGATTATTTCTTTAAAGACTTTTAAAGCATCTTTCGGGAGCGACAAATTATTTAATCATGTATTAACAGAATATATTTTCATAATGTTCCTTTTAATGAAGCCTTTAATTTTTAAACTAATACTGTTAATAAATTTTTATAATAATTTAACTCTTCAAAAACATCCAATTTACAAAGACCAGCCACATATAATGAAAATACTGTAAATTGAACCTAGGAGTTGATGTTCAAAGTCATGAAGTAAAGCTGGTGAAGAACAGCCATTTCCCTGGTCAGGCAGAATCATAATGTCAACATCAAGGCTCCCAATATCAAGGTTGTGAAGAAAACGGCCAAATCTCCATTGATTTCAGAAGGCCTTATATTGAAATCTGCATATGCTTGGTCTTTACTGCAGGAGACAGATAACTTCTTTTTTTTTGTCTACACTAAACCGATTAATGTACTTGTGTCATGTCTATGAACTTCTGTTACAAAAAAATTCCTAAGAGTTGTGAGAGTCAAGATTCCTTGCCACATTGGGCATGAAACCTGATATTTGCCCTTTTGATCCTTGAGGATTAGAATGATCCTAGATTAGCAGTCATCATGTCACCAAAGGTTTATCCTCTAAAGCAGCCTTTCCCAACATGTGGTTTTCTAAACATGTGGACTTCATCTGCAGAATTTCTCCAGTTGGCACAGTTATTTTTAAGATGAGAAGGTCAGCAATCCAGTCATCACCAAGGCTGGGGAAATTGCTCCAGAAAGTTTTTGGTTCAAATCTTATTTCAGCTATGAACTTGCTAGGGTGATCTTCAAGCTGTTGGGTTGACATCCATTGTGTGGAATATGATGTGATAATACAAGACTCAATTTCAGGAAGGTTTCCTCAATACTGAAATGATAGGGTGAATAAAGAATATGGTATAAAAATCCAGTGGTACAATAAATTATTGGTGTGACTGTAGTTTTACTGTTGTTAGGTAAATTCTTCAATATCTTTCAGAATTGACGCCAGCTGTTGGTAACGGCCTAAAATCCAAAAAGAGTTGTACTTTTTTCTGTCAATGTTGCGGGGAAAGTGTAATTAATAATAGGTAAGTCCTGTACTCTGTGAGATTTTTCCTATTGATGAATGTATTTGCAAATCAATTCATACTAGAAGAAATGTAACAGCTGGTGAAATTTGTGCTCAGATAATCTGGAAGTAAAGCTCAGGTGAGAAAGATAAGGAATTTGGTGTCCTTTTGAAAGGTGAAAAATCTCTGGCCCGTATACAACAGTTCTTGTACTCTATGAATAGCATTTTTGTTACCCCTGTTCTTTTTACTTTTATTAACACCATCAATATCTTTAGGTGTCTTGCAATGTTCTGTCTTGAGACCTTTTCAATTGAAAAGCAGGAGATGAAGATTTCCAGCAATAGGAAAAACACAGATCATTTTTAAACTAGATTAAGTTTTAAAATCAGTGGCTGAAATCAGTGGTACTCATGTTCAAAACGTAAACATTGTTCATAATTAATTAAAAAAAACTTTATTGGAGTATACCAAACTTGCTAAGATATTCCATTAGCAGGCTTGTCTGGTTCACTTTATAGGAGATTTTGTGTTTTAATCCCAAAAGGGGACTTTTCCCCTTTTAGTTTTTGTCTCCACAATGTAGGCTAGGAACTCCCCCCCCCCAACTAAAGCTGCAGAGACTTTGCTACATTATACTAGTTAATCAGAGACTGCCTGTTTTTCTACTGCAGATGTTACAAAATCATGATTGTTGATGACTGGAGAGGTTGTGTCATCTGACTATTGAGCCATGTTTATACTTTTCACAGATTGTTTTTCTGCATGAGATATAAGCATAATACTTTTCATGGTACTGCCCTTGCCATTCACAAGATTGGAATTGGGTAGCATGCCCTTTAAATTAATTTTCCTCAGCTCACTCTTTTGGCCTAGACCCTTCTTCATTAATCCCAAATATCATTGCACATTTGCTTTATAGGAACACTGAAAAATAAATTGCAAGCGTTATTTATTTAAACTTATCTCTCTCTTTTTTGCATTACATTTAGTGTGACAGCTTTTGAGCCTGGGGTGGGGTGGGGGAGAGAACCTAGCATTGTTTGCTATCAATGCGTATTGCTTTAACACAACCCTAAATGAAACAATTATGAGGGATAGGCAGTGCAGAAAACACTAAATCTACCATTACAAGCCCTGCTTAATGCCTGAATAATAAAGGAAAAGGGATCAAGTCAACAGGATTATAAGTGAAGTCCAGATTCCCCCTTGCCTCAACTAGCCATCGTCACATCTGTATTCATTCAATACAGTGAATGAATGCATGAATATTTTAGTTAGCAATCTAATTTAAGAATCTATTTTAAATTTCTACAAACCAGGAGATTTTGAATTATGTCTGCTCCCCTCATCCAGCCCATCTGATGTTTAAGGGTAGACTGTTTTTGGGGAAGTACATTAAATTGGAAGCTGCTTTCTGTTCTGTCACTGACTCAAACCATTCAATTCCATTAATAGCCCTAGACCCGTGATGGCGTACCTATGGCCTGTGTGCCACAGATGGCACGTGGAGCCATATTTACCGGCATGGCAGCATGTGTTGTCCAGCCAGCTGATTTTCAGCCTTCTGGAGGTCCAGGGGAGGCCTTTTTCACCCTTTTTTTCCCTTCAGGAAAGCCTCTGGAGCTTGGGGAGGGTAAAAACTCTTCCCCCTTGTGCGGGGGTGGGGGCGCATGCGCATGTGGGTGGGCAGAAGTGTGTGCGCGGTAACAGGCACTCGCACAGTTTTGGCACACCTTTAGAAAAAGGTTAGCCATCCCTGCCCTAAACCAGTTTTTCCCATCTGGTGCAGGTACCATGCTAAGATACACAAATTTAGCTTCTTCCCTGCAAAGTTACAATTTGCCCATTTTTATGTACAGTTTTCAGCATCAGGAACAGTAGAAAATCTGGTTCCTTTTCTTTATTCATACGATTGTTCTGCAGTCTGTACAGCCTGGATTTTTGTTTGTCTCTGTTATTGTAATCAACCCATTCTCTTCTTGCTCAGGACATTTCTCCGGGTTCTTTCACTTCCTTTTGAGAACTGGAATGATTTGGTTGACGAATGGTGTTGCCATCCTAACCCTTTCAACGATAGCCTGCTTCATCCCCAAATTGATGACTGTTTTCTTGGGCACAATTACCTCCTGATTAGTTCAAGAACGGAGTTATCAGGAACAGAATCTGGAAGGCTTCATTCAGAGGATGAGTGGACTACAAGTAGTGAGTCTCTCTTGGTAAATATATACAAAAAATAAGACAAAAGACTACATTCCTTTGAGTTGCACAATTCATTATCTCCTATTTTCATTAAGCCAGATACTAGAAACTGTGAGTTCACTGCATTCTGATCATCATGGGACTTGTAGTCCGACAGCAAGCGTCACAAAGTCCCAATTCCTGGATTTGAACTCTTGTATAATTGTTTAGGGGTGGTGCCAAAAATCGTGGAGATCACAGTAGCCAGGAGATTTGCTAGTATAGTTGTTGGAGCTCACCAATAGTGCTTAAGCTAGGAAAGCCTCATTTGGCTGAAAAATATAACAGGCTGAGGCTAAGCCATAAACTATGTTTGTGCAATGGTTAGGGTGCAGTACTGCAGGCCACTTCAGCTGACTGCTATCTGCAGTTCAGCGGTTCTAATCTCACCGGCTCAAGGTTGACTCAGCCTTCCATCCTTCCGAGGTGGGTGAAATGAGGACCCAGACTGTGGGGGCAATATGCTGACTCTGTAAACCGCTTAGAGAGGGCTGAAAGCCCTATGAAGCAGTATATAAGTCTAACTGCTATTGCTATTGCTATAATACTTAAGTTTGTTTCTTGTGGTAAGCCAAACCCTAACAGATTATTTTATAATGTGGTACAGTATGCAGACCCAGCCAGTATAAGATTAAATGACATGTGCTTTTGTTACTACATGATCTTTGGTTTAAAAGAAATTAAAATAACTATAAATTGTCACAACATGAAAAGTATGGCTTCTATAAAGAGCTTTGCAAACTGCAAGCAAATTAACCAGAACATTATAAAAGCAAAGATATCCTTCTGAGATTTATGAATTATTTCTGGTTCTGGAAAAATCCAACGATGATCTCTTTTGGGGAGCATTTAGCAGAATTTATTAGCCATTCTTGGCATCTCTTGTGACAAGGATGGAAATTACATCCCTCCAATGCTAAAATATTTTGAAAGCAGGATCAGCAGTCAGTTACTATGTGGGGCCCAGGTGTGTCTGATTAAGGACTTTGGAAACCTGGTTATTCAGTCCAAATTTCTCATAGCCATTTGTACAATCCATCACTGCATATAAAATGGCTCTCCTTATTTGGAGTCTGAGTGATCTGAATGCAGTTCTTCCACTTTACCTAGCTGGCTTAAGTAGCTTTTATCTCTGGGGCTTTTGATGCTTTTGAAGATCAGTCATTTTTTCACACAGCACAGCTTTCTGTCCTCATGGAAATCTTCCCCTGAAATTGAGCTACACCTTTGCAGATTTAGAAGACCTTAAATACTTGGGTTAGGCAAATAAAATGTTCCTTGAAGCATGTGCAAATAATGCTGAACTTCTAAAGATTGGAGTATAGTTTCTGATCACTATTTGCTTAGAAGAGTCAGGAGTTACTTGTTTAACACTATTTAGATAGGATGCAGAAGACTATCGCTGTACGTTCAACCTCTTATTGATGGAAAATTGTTGTAATATTCCTATTGCTACTCAAGTCTATTGGAGCAGGTGAGAAAGCCAGTGGCTCATATATAATTGCATTGCTTGATTTATAGGGAGCCTTATTCATTTTTAATAAGCTCTTACTGGTTTAAATGTCAACTAGAACAAAGAAGTGCATGCTATTTATTTACTATTAATTTAAAAGAAAATTGTGCCACCAAAACTACACAAGCATTGCATTTGTTTGTCATCTCCTGTTCAAAGAAAATTAGAGGTTTCATTATATAATGAATTTATTGTGAATGAAGGCGAATATGTCCAAGGATAATGTTGCAGGACCCAATCTGGGTTGTTCATCAAGACCAGAGGTTTAGTCTTCCGAGCTTTCATCCGTAGGGAACTTCTCTCTAACTTCTCTCTAGTACACACTCTGCTAGAGAAAATTCCCTGAGGATGGGCTCCAGCACGAATCTGAAACTTGGAAGACCGAACCTCTGGTCTCGGTGACCGACCTAGATTAGATCCTATTTATATATGATTTAAAGTCTCTTTTAGTCAGTGCTATATACTATCATATTCTTAATTTGGCTGGTTGTAAACAATAGCAGCGAGTTTCCAGTTATCTGGAGAAAAAACCCCAAGAACAATAAAAATCAATAACTTTCGATAAAATCATGAGCAGGATCCAAACTGTTCTATTTATAACTGAAAGAGCTCAAGGCCTGTAATACAATCTCTTTCCCTTGCTTCTTCCCCATACACAAATTATGTGTGCCTTGCCTTTGAAGGCTATTGTTTCTCATAAATCTTGGAGAATGCTGAGGTGTATTTTCATCACTTGGCAATTGTAAGATCAGGCAATAATTTGATCTGTGAAACAGTCGTCGCAGAGAGAAAGGACACTTGGCCAGCCCTCCACATCACTTGAAACAGGACTCCTTAATGGAGCATTTCACCCACTTCGTTAAGTCTCAGCAGGTGATAAGTCATTGAATAATGAACCCTGAAGCGGTGCTCTCGCTTGTGTGCCAACCTGTGTGCCACTGACACTACCCTATTTCCTGTGCTTCAGACAACTCTTCTCCAAATCATCACACAACATAATTTTAGATGCTCCAAGGTCGCAAGCTGTTCTAACTGCTTATCTCTAGAGGAAAATGTTTCCTTCCAGACAATATCAAGGACATTTTCAGATAGAAGTGGGGGGGATAGTGTGCAGCTAGCCAACAGCTGAAAGTTGTCACACAAGATACATTGATTTAATTTGTGTGGCAAAAACATACTGTTATTTCTGTTCAGGTCAGCAAAACCACGAAGTTCTTGGTGCGTGACCCCCTTTTTTTTATCATCATTACATGAAGTTCTAATCAGAAGAAAATATATTGGACCATAAAGTGGAAACATCAGAATTGAGTGTGAAATGCAACATAACCTCTGAATGTTGATTTTGTAGGAAAATGTTTTTGACTCTGAAAATGTAGAGCGTACTCTAAATGAACATAAGCTACTTATATTCATTGTGAATTAATTAACGGGCAATTAGAATGAGACAAAAGCAACTAAGCCAAAAACAATTAGCCACAGTGGCTTTATTAAAAGCAACAAGAAAAAACCTTCCACGTTCAGCAGCTTCTGCATATTGTGCAGTAAGATAAAAAGAACAGGAGAAGCCCCAGAAGGGGAATTTGCATTGTTCATATAGCTCTGAATTAGGCATGGCAGTGGAAGGAAGGAACTTGGTGCCTCAAACAATACAGCCGTTGGTAAAGAATTGGGGAAATTTTGGAGGCACTAATTGAATTGACCTGGTCCTTCAGAGTTTGAGAATTTCTCAACTCGGAGATAATCACAGATTACATTTCTAGTTCCTGGATCAGGAGGCCCTCCAAACAGTCACTGATATTCTAGTGGCCTCACAGTTGGACTGTTGTAGAGTTGGAGTAAAAGTTTCCCAATATTCTTCCAGAGATCTATATAAGTCCCATCCTCACGATGCTCCAGATGTCTTTAAAAACCTGCTATTCTCCTGGGCCTTAGGGAAGAATATTAGTTGAGTTTGTTGGTGATGTTTTTTTAATTAGAGGGAGTATGGGTGTCTCGTGCTTGTGATTTCCTTTTTAGTATTTTCCTTTAATTCTTTTATTTTTTAGCATCATTTATATTTAGCGTGACTAAGAGTCATTTTGGAACAGAGCAGTCTCTAAATCTCATAAAGACACACATTAAATAAATAAATAAGGTAAATATTCTTTTAAAAAACCATATGCTTGGATAGAGTTGAAAATAAGGCAGACTTAGCTCCAATCCAGATGGTTTCTTTTATAATATTAAATTACCTAGCATAGTTTTCAGCAAAAGTATAATCAAGATTAGTCCTCTTGCGTACTGTATATAGATTCCCCTTATTATTTTTAGCAATTCTCTTCCTGCTGAGCAACCCGAGATAATGAAATCACAGATAATGAGACTGTGAAAAAAAACATCCACATTATAAGTATCTGTAGTATTCCAAAAAATGTGGCAGAAACTAGATATGCAAAGCTGTATGTATTACAGACACTAAATTCTAGCACATAATTTAAATTGTGGATTTATCAAGAAACCAAAAAATGAGGCCATAGATAATGAGTGCCAGATATATGAACTAGATAATTCTTCTTTATGCCATAAAATTAGGGTTCATTTTAACACAGACTTTTAGGTTTGCTGCTGGGAATTTATGTTCAATTTATGTTGCACAGATTTAGAATTATATAGATTTTTGGCTTTGGACTGCTTGTAAAATTTGGAAAAAGGCATATTTTCAAGTCCATGTTTGGTCCTTCTGAGGAATTTTAGCTGCATAACCTTTTTTTAGTCTAGACATTGAAACTAGTTGTCTTCTAAGTGTCTTGGACTATAGTCAAACTGGTGGGGATTATGGAAATTCTGATCTGACAGGTCTGAAGGGCATCAATCTAGATTTACCTCTCTGTTTAGTCCTGATGTTTACTTGGTAACTTTGGACTAAACTATCCATTTGTTTCTTTATCGCATACAAGTAGTGCATCTTTCAGTCACTTTTCATCTGAGAGCTCATATCCTTACCAAAACAAAGGACAGAATTAAAAAAAAAGTGGGGTTTAAATGTTGTATAGTGGTACCTTAAGCGATAATGAGTTTGCAGAAAGCCAGTGATGTGGCTTTTTCTCTGCACTGCTGCTTTTTTGTGGTGTAAAAATAGCAGGATGCCTTAAGGTGGGAGGTATCTTTGCATTTATGCCTTGTATCCAAGTCCAAAGTTCTATTTTCAGGTTGTTGGGTATAGCTAATAATATGTGGGCAGTTCTTCTCTTTGACTTTCTTTCCTTCCACCTATCAGTTAAAGGTAAACGTGTTATGAACAAAGTCATAACTGGCTCAGTTGATTTAGACTGGCAACAGCAATCCATGCCCTCTCTTAAAAGGGTTGCCACATTTGCCTGGCCATTTGGAGATGACCTCCTGGGTCTTCTTCTATAGAGCCGAGGTGGCGCAGTGGTTAGGGTGCAGTACTGCAGCCACTTCAGCTGACTGCTAGTTCTGCAGCTCAGCGGTTCAAATCTCACCGGCTCAGTGTTGACTCAGCCTTCCATCCTTCTGAGGTGGGTAAAATGAGGACCCAGATTGTGGGGGTGATATGCCGACTCTGTAAACCGCTTAGAGATGGCTGAAAGCCCTATGAAGCGGTATATAAGTCTAACTGCTATTGCTATTGCTATTCTGCAAAGGAAGTTACGTGACCTGCCATTGCACTTTCCTCCTCCCTTTCTCACCCAGGATGTTGCACAGTGGAAATAATTATTTCAATCCACATGACTTACAGGTCTGCTCACGAATTACTAGAGCATGTTACATCAAATGTGGATTTGATGATTATACCTCTTCTCAAATAGCTTTTGGTAATTTGATGCTGAAATTGCTAGTGCTTTTCTATCGTGCATGAATCTAGAATTCATGGTGAAGTCTTCCGTCTTCTTGGTGACTGAATATACACACCTGTGCCTCAATTTTAATAAAATGTTCTCTGCGAATAAATCATCTGCTTCACAGTCTAATGACTGCGCACTAGTGGGCTCTTTATTGTAGACAGTAATGGCAGGGACCAGTTGAGTCATTTTTAAGGGCTGATTGGTCATTGTTACGGAATTATAATAGTCTTCCTTAATATGTTCATGCTGGGAGTTTGAAAGAAACATGGGCTCATTTGTCTGGAATATAACAGGAGGAAATTGGCCAATAGATTGACTTATTTGTAGAAATTTTAAACAGATTTTCTCCTCATGTATCTACCAAGTAAGAAGACATTTAAATCTTTTTCTTTGCTTTGCAGAATTCACAGGCAAATAGTAAAATAATTTGCAAGCGCTGCAAGACGTTGTTGGGAGAAACTATGCCCTCAGGTACTTGAATTCTCAGACAAAATCTTTGAAAGCTGTTTTAGTCACCTACTGTTAGAGAAGTTTTTAAATGACCTGTTAAAATTACTGGTTTTTAGTTAGGTTTGAAAGGGACGAGGTTCTTTCTTTCTTTTATTCTAAAATATATTTTCATTAAACAGCCATAAAATTTGTCTGGATTTAGGAGCAAAAAAAATAATAATAATTAGGGAGAATACTATAAATGTACTTGCAAAGTCAGGTATACCCCTACTTCAGAGGGAGTAAAGTTGCCCATCTCAAATAATTATATGAAGAGTTGCTATTTCCTGTTAGACTGTCTCGCCACCACAAGCTTCTTTCTATGATAAAATATTGCTGCCGTTTTCCTATTAATCCTGAGCAGAGTAACATCATTTCCCCTACTTTTCTAATGAAACCAATCCTCTTTTTGAGGAAGGGCCACCTTATTTTCTTTGGTTTTCTTTTTTCTTATTTTAACAAAAAAAATCTAGCTAGGGTACAGTAGATGTGGAACTTTGGCTGAAAAGCTAACTGGAGATTAGCCCTCAGATGGGAGGCTACCAAGAAGCGCCAGGATGTACATAGATTCATACATACATACCAGTGGTGGGTTTCAAAAATTGTTCGAACTTACTCTGTGGGTGTGGCCTCCTTTGTGGGAGTGGCTTGCTGCCCATGTGACCGGATGGGAGTGGCTTGCCGCCCATGTGACCGGATATGAAGATGCTGATGACACTTGTCAGAACTACCTTAAATTACCTCACACACAGCACTGGCATGCATAAGAATATGATGTAAACTTGTTTTTTAAAAGGCATCTTTGGTTTGCGTTAAAACAACTTCAACACATGCAATGTTCTGATTGCACCACAAACGCAGTAGTCATCCTTACCTTTCACAGAGGCACTGAGTTTTATAAATATGAGCATGATAATGTAGAATAATCATATCCAAGGACCAGCAGTGGGTTTCAAAAAAATTTGGAACCTCTTCTGTAGGTGTGGCCTGCTTTCCGTGTCCACTGGTGGAACCTCTTCTAACCGGTTCGGTAGATTTGACGAACCAGTTCTACCGAATAGGTGCGAACTGGTAGGAACCCACCTCTGATACATACATTTATATCTTGCTTTTAATATTTTTACAAATGATTCGAGATGGTAAATAAGCCCAGCACACTTTCCTCCTCATGTTTTCTCCACAGCTGTGTGCTGGGTTGAGAGTGACTGGTCCAAGGTCACCCAGCTGACTTTCATGGCTAAGGCAGAACTTGAACTCATGGTCTTTTTAACCTGGCGCCTTAACAACTTGCCCAAACTGGTCCTCTCTGTTAATAGACTGGAGAAGAAAAATACATCTCCAGAAGAAGGAGACAGCAAACCCCTTCTGTATATTTCCCAAGCAAAGGACACACAACCAACTGACCACACTAGCACACAAGCCATTTATAAGCTAAGGAGAGAATAGGACAAGAAAACTTTGCTGATGATGTTACTTAGTCAGGTAATGAAACGTTCGCAAATTAAATTGAAATAGGCTTGCAGAGCAAAACCACTGCCCCCCCCCCCAAAAAAAAGGATTTGGGTGTCTATGATGTCACCAGCCAAAGGTGGTTATTCAGTAGGTTCTGACCAGTTCTGGAGAACCGGTAGCGGAAATTTTGAGTAGTTCATAGAACTGGTAAATACCACCTCTGACTGGCCCTGCCCCCATCTATTCTCTGCCTCCCGAGTCCAGATGTGATTTCCTACCAGTTCGCACCTATTCGGTAGAACCGGTTCGTCAAATCTACCGAACCGGTTAGAAGAGATTCCACCAGTGGACCCGGAAAGCAGGCCACACCTACAGAAGAGGTTGCAAAATTTTTTGAAACCCACCACTGGCAAGGATCTTGTAACTTGACAGCTTTAAAACTTGCATGCTTCAATGCCAGAGTTTCTGAATAGCTACTTGGACCAACCTAAGTACTAATTCATAATTTCATATCCGGTCACATGGGCAGCAAGCCACTCCCACAAAGGAGGCCACACCCACAGAGTAGGTTCCAACAATTTTTGAAACCCACCACTGCCTGAGTCCCAGCTGATCGGGAGGGAATGGGGATTTTTCAGTAACCTTCCCTTGAAGTGGGATGGGAATGGAGATTTTACGGTATCTTTTCCCTGCCACGCCCACCAAGCCACACCACACCCAGCAAGCCACACCCACAGAACTGGTAGTAAAAAAATTTGAATCCCACCACTATCACCAGATATTGAACTTGAGTCAAAGAAGAGTTCATTTTTTGAGGAATGAGCAAAAGGATAGTTTTGTGTTTTAATATGTAGCAGAAGGGAACGAGAAAAGCAAATGCAGTTGCTGGGGGCTGGTAATGGAAAGAGGTTGAGTGAATAAAAGGGATATTTCAGAACAACTTTAAGATCCTTTCTGCATGATTTCAGTTTACAAAGCAAAATTTAGTTACTCTTTATAAAGTTTTTTTGAAGTAGAAAATATTGGGTTATTTTCTCAGTGAGAGCAATTTTATAGGTACTTTGGCGTTCTTGACAAAGATAGTGCTGAGGAAGGGGAAAAGAAAGACATTGAATAGTATTTGGGAGACATTAGAAATCACACACAGACACACACTCTTCAATTCACCAGTGCTCTCTGTAGAAAAAGTAAAAAGCACTTGATACATTAGGAACCGATGAGCAAAGACTCTCTCCAAAAAGTGTTTCTGCTGCTTTTATCCCCAAACTTAGTGACTTTTAAAAGTATGGCCTTCAACTCCCAGAGATTTCTTCAAGTGCCATCTGTCTTTGGAATTGGGGGGAAGGGGGAGGCTGAAATGCACATGTCTCTGGGTATTTGGCTTGAGAAAAAGCTACCCTACCACATTGCTTACCACAAGCCTAATTTTAAAATCTTTTGGGAACAGTTTCAATTTTGTACGCATTAATAATGCATTTGAATAATACAAGCATCCCTGAAATGTGAAAACGTAGCAGAATGTAAATATTTACAAAATTGCCAGATATTTTTTTTTCCAATTCATCCTCTTCTCAGGTTTTTAATAAATGACTGACATGCAGAACTTTAACAAGGTTAAGTTTTTATTTGTTGCACAGCTCCATGTCAGAGAGGGACAGGATCAGGCCTAAGCGAAGAATGATCCCTCCATCTGTGCTTATGGATAATTTTTAAGAATGTTCCAAATTGTAATGCTTAAGTAGGCTCAAAGAGTCATGTTGCCTAGCATTCAACAGTAGTCAACCTGGTGCAGGGGTGGGTTTCAACCGGTTCGCGATGGTCCCTGCAAACTGGTTGGTTGCCGAACCCGGAAATATGTAACTTCCGGGAACGGCGAAGGGCGCGCCCGCCCGCCCGCGGTCCTTACCCGGTTT